AAACAAAAATTTTTTTTTATCATCTACTCTTAACCCATATACGGAAGAACGCCTAAACGGCACATAAACTTTGCACATATTGATTATGAATTTATGTTTCTCTGGTCCACGGATAACTTCGATACCAAAACCCTAACTATGACACATCAACAAAAATAATCAATAAGTGATAGAATAACACAAGTTATGGGTGCACTAAGATCTAAGGTGATGAAGAATAGGGTTAATTTTGTGTGGCAAAGCAACATTAGTCATCTCTACCAAATCCACGATCATAAATCAACCCTCATATGATTACAACCTTACTATAAACCAAGGGACAACCCTGTTTACGATTTAAATAAAATACGGTCCTAAACTTCTAAAATCTCTCTTTAGTCTAGTGGTAAAAACCTCTGTCCTCTCTTCGTATGTCAAGAGTTTGAATCTCAAATCAGTGTATATTTTAATTTTGTTTTTGAAACGCTTTTTTTTTAATGTTTAAAGTGATCAATTTTTTTTTTGCTTGCGGCCTTTTAAAACTCAGGACCGCCTCTGCATAAACCACTAAAAGAAAAGGCATCAACCTAAAATCCTAGTATTCTTAAAGACCAACATTGAGTCTTCACTATTGATTCAAACTAGTGACGGTATATGATGATCATAGTACCAAGAATTAAAAGGAAACAACCGATTTTATTGTAAAAAACAAAATAACTCGGAAAGTTATTATTAGGGCCAAAGCCAGAAACTCGGCCCAACCCAACACTAAAAAAGAAAGCCTGGTCTAAATATTAAATTCGGAACCGGTGTAAGCAAACCGTTATTTTGATCGAACCGGAATTTGAGAGCCACGCAAAATTAGGGTCTTTTTTTTTCTTTTTCTCCTTCCATTTCTTCATTTGACATCGGAATCTTTCTCAGGCCGAGAAGAAAACAAAAATGGCGGCAATAAGGACGATGACGAATTTGCTCCTCCGCGAGTTTACCCATCACCCTCTTCTCTTTCACTCTTTATCGAAATCGTGTCAATCTCTTTTACCATGTCTCCGTCGTGGCACTCCTCGGATTGTTCTGGTTCAGTCTGATTCCCGATTCGGATCTTTCCGATGTGCGGCGTCGACTTCCGGTGGAAGCGGTGGTGGTGATCGGAAAGTTTCTTCACGGTTATCTCAGGTGCAGCAGATGCTTCATGAGGCTGAGGAAAGGGCTAATTCCGCTGGCAATGAACCTACCCCTCAAATCACTCTTGGTTAGTCTCTCTACTAGTTTTGCTTGATTGAAGAAGGAAAAAAGAAACTGGGTTTAGTTTGTTCATCTGATTGAAATATCTTTGGAACAAGATTTACACGAAATGTAGAGTTGAATTTTTGTTGTAGATTGTGAATTCATATCTATGGACATGGTTATAGAGTTCTGTTCTGTGGTAATTTGATGTTGTTTCATAGTTTCTAGAGAACTGAGTTAAGTCATTAGTGCCAATGATAATTGTTTTCGTGA